TACAATTTTATTTTATAATCACAAGAATTCCATCATGAACTCCCTCACACATCGCCATCGACGCTCACAGACATAAATCACTTTAATGTCAATATCATCAACAAAACGTCACAAATGAACCCATTTTCCAACTTTGAATCAAGGGTTGGACTTGTGATTGGGGGGCTATGACATATTTACGGTCATGACACCGAAGATAATGGACCGCGTCTGGTTGATGGGACCCGACGTTCAGATGGGGGAGGTATACGCGTGAGGCAATAAGGGAAAACGGCTGTCATTGATTGGATGAGCAACCGGGACATATGCTGAGAATTGGAAATGACAATTGCATCCGCCTGATTTTACTGGGTTTGGTACAGTGGTGTGAAAAATTAGTAATCTAAAGTTTTATTTAACAGAATTTTATTTTGCAATTTATACTGATTTAAATTATAAAATAAAAGCACCTAGTCTCACGTCCCAACTGCCATAGGCCGGCATTCTCCAGTTTGAGGGGCTGGGGTTCGAATCCCCCTCTCCATATTTGTAATCTGTTTAAAAAAAAAAATTATAAAAAAAAAATTATTTAATGAGAAGAGGGCTCATAATAATCAAGGGTAAAAATTTATTTTTAACCCCTCACCTTATTAAGTGTGAAGGTTTTAACCTCTCATACTATATTATAACACTTTTAACTTTTCACCTTATTAAATTTGTAGGTTTTAACCCATCACCTATTAAAATTACAGAAAATAATCCCTACCTTATACTAACCGTTAACTTTGTTAGTTGAAAGTAAGTTTTTGTCAACTAACAGTCAACTAATAATCAGTTAATAGAATGAATGAAATATTGTAAAATTAGTTTTGTTCATTCTGTTAGTTAAAAGAAGGTTTTTGTCAGCTAACAGTTAGCTAACAGAACTAACAAAATGTTAAAAAGTGAGAGCTATTTTCTTCAGTTTTAATAAATGAGGGACTAAAAGTGTCATAATATAAGATAATAAGTTAAAATCTATAAATTTAGTAAAGTGAGGGGCTAAATATGTTATAGTATAAGGTGATAAGTTAAAACCTTCAAACTTAGTAAGGTGAGAGGCTAAAAATAGGTTTTTACCCTAATATTAAGAGTCTAATCCCTCATCAAATAGTTTATATTTTAGAGTATGAATCAATTTAAATTGTAAAATATTTTTTTGTTTATTTAATTTAGTAAATAAAAATATATAAATTAATAGTAATAATAATTATTAGAGATTAGTGTGTACTA